TTGGCTCTGTACTTCATGCCTGGTCAGACCAAAAGAGTGGACACGAGTGACATGTCACCCTGGTGGGGGTGGGGGTAACAGAGAAGAGGAGAGACGTGGGATGACAGTGAGCAGAGGTGACTATGACAGCTGACTGACTTTGTAACCAGATCTGAAAAAGTGTCTGCTACTCATATCAGGCCAGTAGGGGTCAGTTCTGAACACCGGCCCTTGGGATCAGATCTTCTGTGATAGCTCGCCGGAAGCCAGAAGGCAGATCTTTAGGGAGCAGTCTCACTGCTTTGAAACGTTGGTGACTGACTTTGGTTTCCCAGTGTGAAACATTCCACAGACTCATCTTCAAAGCCCACCCATTCTCCACTTGAGGTGAGTGATTTGACAGGAAAGAGGAGTCAGGGACAACAGAAAAAAAAAAGTGCAAAAATTTCAGCTATTGGTGGTAAAGCAGGAGCTTCCAGGTTGCTAGTCTACTCCTTGATGAGAGCGTAGAGTCTCAGAAAGGTGGAAGGATAGGGGTCATATGGTAAGGCACCCAGAGTCCTGCTTCCCAGCCCAACACCTCTATACACATGAAAGACACACCTGAAATGTGCATGAAAGAATTACTGGCATGGAGGGTGAGCTAGAGAAGGAGCTGAAGAGGAAGAGAGCATGTGTCCTGGAAAAGAGGGGCCGGGCAAGGAGTTAGGTTTGAGCCTGAAAGCAGCACCGAGAAAACACTTGGAGGGAGACTGGAGAGCAGCTAGGAGTCAGAGACGAGGAAGCACCGCAGGAGTCTGCTGAGAAAGGCGTGAGGCCGTGAAGATGAGGTAGGACTGTCCAAAAGAGAACTAGAAAGACCAGGGTGTGAGCTTGGGAGAAGTCCTGTGGGGAGAGGAGCTGAGGGCTGCAGATGAGGAGAGGAAGACCTCCAAGAAGGAGAGTGAGGAAGAGGGACCAGAGGAGGTCAGAAGGCATAGCTCTGTTTCAGTTCTGGGGACCCACAGAGCCAACAGGAGAGCGAAGACACGGAGAAGGGGCAAGAATGGCCAGGGCTGGTGAGACAGCTCGTGGGTGAAGGTGCTTGCTGCCGAGTGGGACAACCTGAGTCCCATCCCTGGGACCCACACAATGGAAGGAGATTATTAACTCCTTCAAGTTGCCTTTTGACTTCCATATTCACACTGGAACTTGTACACACTAGATAAACATAGATAGATAGGTAGGTAGACAGACAGACAGATGATAGATAGGATAAGAAACATTTAAGGGAGCTGAAGAAGTGACTTAGCAGTGGAGAGCACTCCCTGCTCTTCCAAGAGACCAGAGTCCAGTTCCTAGCACCCATATCACGCAGCCTACTACTTTTTAATGACTCTAACTCCAGGGGATCAGAGGCCCTGTTCAGGCGCCCATGGGTACTTGAACACGTGCACTCATGCAAAACACTGGCACACACAAATACATATATGGTAATTCCACATGGCTCACAACCATCTGTAACTCCAGTTCCAGAGGATCCGACACCCTCTTCTGACCTCAGGGGTCACCGAGCATGCACGTGGCACATAGTTGAAACTGCAGACACAGCATCCATACACATCATCAAGTAAAATATAAAAATAAAAAGAGAAGCCCAGAAGAGGGTTGGGAGGTGGGACCGAGGAATTCGTGGAATCATAGCACCTCCCACAGGGAAGCACACACCCCTGGAGACCTTGGGATGGAGACTCATAACACACTAGCCGTCAATTTGCTGGAGGCACAGGCTTCAGAGAGGTGGCCAGCCTTCCTGCACCCTACCTTCCAAGCAGCATATCCGCCAGAGACCTGAGTGTGTGAGGCCCCCAGGGTCCTTCTTCTCCGAGGAGCCGCTGCCCCCACGGTGGGGCGGTCCGTCATCACCCGCGGTGAGGTTGGTGGTGTTGCAGATGAGAGCTCGTGTGTAGAGCCAGTAGTCAGTGCTGATGGCGATGGTCATGAGTCCAAAGGCTGCGAAGGCGCCTACGGTGGTCAGCAGTACCTGAACGCCCTTTTCGCACCACAAACCCCTCTCTTCATTCCAACGTTTCAATGACTCCAGTTTGACCACGGGCAGCCGGGGGGCCGTGGGCCACCACCGGGGCAGCGGAGGTGGGGCCGTGCCTGCGGCTGGGGGGGTCACAACACAGGCAGAAGCGGGGGCCTCGAGGGGCCAGAGGGGACGGGGGCAGCGAGCAGGTGGCTGCAGAAGCGGAGGTCAGAGTGAAGCCATGGTCTCCAGCTGGTGGAGGCAAGAGAGAGGGAGTTAATTCTGTGAGACGGCCTCTTTTCTCCCAAAACGACTTTCCTGCTGGATTCTACTGAAAGATTGCCCCTCATCAGTCCATATACTCAGAGGTCATGACCCAGCACCCTCCATTCCTCTCTTGTGATCACCATTGTCCTCTTGGGAAGCCAACTCAGGATTCAAACGCCACTGTTATCTCCTCCTAAGAAGCCCCCTGCCTCTGCTCACTCCTTAGTTTCCCTGGCCCCATTACCAGCCTTCTCACATACAGTAACACACACACACACACACACACACACACACACACACACACACACACACACACACACTGTAGGACCACTGCTTAGGAAAGGCCTGTCCGTAGGTCTCCAATTTTGCCTCTGGTATCTCTCCAATTTAGGAGCCACAGTATCAGCTGGGGATGTAGCTGGTAGGAGCTGGCCTAGCATGAATAAAGCCCTGGGTTTGATCCCAACCAGAATATAAATGGGACATGGTGGTATATGTCTAGAATCCCAGGACTCAGGAAGTAAAGGTAGGAAGATCAGTTCAAGGACATCCTTGGCTACAAAGCAAGTTGAAGACCAGCCTGGACTACTGGACACCCCCATCTAAAGAAAAACAAACAAAAATTGCCCACTAATTCCACGTTTTGGTTTTTTCATATCCTCCTTGACAGAATACCTCCCTCCCCAAAAGTTTCTGCTTTTGGACCTGGCATATCTCCTATAATTTCCTCTACTTAGAAAAAATAAATCCCCCAATCTCTCCAAAAAAAAACCAAAAACAAACAAAAACCTTCCCAAGTGAGCCTCACTATTCACAGGAGTCCTAACACTTCCCCCATTTCCTCTAGATAGGCCCCTGTGTCTCAGGATTGGCCTTACCACCTTGGCACATCTTTAAAGTGCGAGAGGATTAAATAAAAATTCTGAAGCAGGACTCCTACCCGAGAAATCCCAATTTAATGGGGCTGAGAAGTAGTCAATCACCTAGGGTGTTTAAAAAGCTCCCTGGGGAATTTCCAAATCCCCTAGACTTTGGAAGACATAGAGACACCTTGTCTCTGTCATGTAGACTCTCCCAGTCCCTCCTGTACCCTCGTGCCTCATTCATCCACCTCCCTTCCAACCCCAGCGCCCTGCTATGTTTTTGACTCAAAGAAAACTCCGCACTCAGTCTTGCTTAAAAGTATTTGGAACCTGGCCTCTGTTCTCCCTACAACTCACACAAACTCATCCTTCCGTTGCCTTTTCTCCTCCATTAAGAAAAATTTGCTCTGTGAGCTTCACAAGGTTTCCTACTACAGCCATGGCTTCCTCCAGACCCCAATTTCCTCCCATTCAGAAATGTTCTAACATCTAACCTGTCCAAAAATATGATCACCCTCTCCTGTTCTGCCCAGCATGCCTTGGCTTTTACCCTCGGCACAGACAACTCACCACAGCCTCAGTAGGCTACACTGCAAGGGATCCCCTCAATTCTAGATCTTCTCAGGTGATTCTGAACCCCACACTCACTTCAACATATTAGAACTTGTCATCCCCAACTTTTTTTTAACATCATAGAGAATCCCCTTCTCTTTTGCCCACTTCTTCCACACACCACAGCTTCCAGCATCTACTTCACGAAGGAAAAGCCCCCCTCCGCAGGCCCGGCAGACTTCTCTGGAATATCCCCAGTCCTTCCTTTCCCATAACAGTTTCACCTATGTAGGAACTTAGCCACCATCATCTCCCAAACACCACACACACACACACACACACACACACACACACACACACACACACACCACAAAAAAAAAGAAAGAAAGCTACAGAACTACAACTCCGTTATGGATAACTCCTTCCCTGTCCATTCATTTCTGTCTTCTGTAAGATCCCGACCATCCGTGCCTCTTCCTGCCTGTGTTTCCCTCACCTGTTTCAACCTCTTCCTCTGACTTCTTTCCCAAATCCCCCGTAAGAAGGAGTCTGGAAGCTCTGAGGATGAGAGGCATCAACTAGAAACCCCGGGTCCCAGTACAGGGTGACCTTGGCCTCCCAGTTTCCTCTCTGGCTCCACCGCCCCCACCAGCTGGCCCTGGACCGGGTCTGCTCCCAGGAGGGGCTGTAGAGAAAGGTTGTCTATGGGGGGTGTCTCCATGGCAACAGGGCCTAGTGCCCCACACGTGTGCTCCTGCCTACACACACACACACACACACACACACACACACACACACACACACACACACACACACAGCCCCTTCCTGGGCCCATTCCCAGCTTTCCCGTTTTTTCCAGGCTGGCCCCTGACCCGGACTGAGTTTCCTTCCCTCCTTCTGCCTCCTCTACACATGCCTGTGCCCCTCACCACTACCACAGCAGCCACCTCCACTGTCTTAACAAATTGCTGCTTCCACAGACATGAGCTCTGACCCCAACATGTACCTTCTTCCCAAGCCTCGTGGGCCCTACAACCTGGGATAGGAGGAAAAGGGACCAGGAGGGACTTTCTCCATCATAAAGATTTTAAGAGCTTTTCATTTTTGTCAATTTGAGAGACAATCTGTTTGGCTTCGGGGACTCTTCATTGAGTCCATCCGCAAAGGAGACAGGAATAGAGGACCCCCCAATTCTAAAGCTTCTGGATAGAAGAGGGTCACAGTCCTTCGTCTGAGAGACTGGATTTTTTTTTTTCTCAGAATCAGGGGGATTCACGGAACCTTAAATCTACACCCACCCACCTCCGATTAATAAAAAGATCTCTCACCTCAGTTAATGATAGGTCAACTCTCCGATGCACTGGGGAGGGACGTCCAGCCCCTGCTGCCAGCACCCCTCCCCCCAGAAACACCTCTGGGCTTCCCAATTCTCGCTGCTCCCCCCTCCCCCAGCAGCAAGGGACCCAGGCGTCCGACCTGGTTGAGAGGGGATGGAGATGAGGAGGCGTATGAAGAATGGGGGTGTAGAGTGAGGGGGAGGGGAGCTGGGGGTTAGCTCGGAGCTTGGGCCGTCAGGATGAGAGGGTCGGGCTTTAAAAAAAAAAAAAAGGTGAGGAGACAATTTGGTTCTCGTGTCGCTGGGTAAAGTGCGGAGCTGGAAGAGAGAAGGAGGGAGGAGGGAGGGAGGGGGAGGGGAGCTGCTGAGGGATGGGGGAGCCTCCGAGGGGAGAGGGATGAGGGGGGAAGGGAAGCGGTTGGGGAGCGGGGTCTGAGTGGCAGAAGGAAGCTGAGGAAGAAGAGAGATAGATCCGGAGAGGGAGGGAGACGGAGAGAGACAAGGAGATCGGAAAGAGAGAGAGACCCAGAGACTGAGAACAGAGGTGGGGGAGGGAAGAATTTGGGGGAGGCAATGACTGGTAGCAGAAGGAAGTTGAGGAGACACACACAGAGAGAAATATCCAGAGAGAGAAGGGACAGAAGCAGGAAGAGAGACAGAGAACAGCAAGAGATGAGGGAGAAATAGAGGGGTAGGGGGAGGCTGGGGGAGGGTGTGGGGAGGAGAGAAGAAGAGGGGGTCCGGGTCTGGGCAACAGAAGGGGAAAGGAGTAAGAGATAGTCATCCAGAGAAGGGGGAGGAGAGACAGATGGGAAGAGAGAGTCTGAGAGGATGGGAAGGGAAAGAAATAGAGGAAGGGGTGAGGAAGAAATTGGGGATGGGGGCCAGGGAGAGAGTGAGGAGGGAGAGAAAGACAGAGACACAGGCAGAGAGAGAGAGACAGAGACAGAGACAGGGAGAGACAGAGAGATTGATTCTAGGAAAGGGGACCAGCTCAGATGCACTGAGGAAGGCAGAGATAGAGGGCACCTCTGCCCCCTTCCACCCGCACCCCCATCCCCCTGATCCTTACCCCCACCCCCATTTCAAAGCCACCACCCCCACCCCCACTAGCCTCCATCTCTTCAGCATGGCTTGCCGCCGCCACCGCCTCTTCCTGTTGTCATAGCAACAGGATCCAGGCGCCCAGCCAAGGTTGGCAGCGGCGGCCGGAAATGAGGGGAGGGCCTTTTTAAAAAGACCCCAGGAATGCTCTCCCCTCTTCCCCGCCCACCCCCCAAAAAATCAAGGGAAAGCTCAACTTCTCAGGGTCTTTTTTTCTCTTTTCCCAAGTAGCAGGGCCAAAGATTTCTTCTAAATGAACTATAATTCATTTACAAGCATAGCAAGCATTTTGAGTTTTACCAACAATTTTCTTTTTCTTGGTACCCTCTGCTTCTACCGTAGTTTAACCCTGATGGAAAAGGAGGATGCCGTTCGGTTCCCATCAAGACAAGAATCGGGTTGGGGAGCAAAGAGGAGAGATAAATGTATCTAGGACTGTGCTGGAGAGCTAGGCAACAGTTGCGAGCATTGCTGTCACTTCTAGAACTAACCAGTGAGTATGGGATGGGCCGATCCGAGGTAGAAAATAGATAATTATAACTTTGGCCTTGGTCCTGATTTTGGAGACCGCCCTTTGCTTCTGGGTGACCTTGGGCCAAACACTTCCTGTCCTAAACTCAGCCACTCTGGGGACCAAAGTTACCTTCAGGTAAAAGGAGAACAACCTGAAAAGTCGCTTTACACGTTTTTTAAGACTGGTGCAAATTAAGCTACATGTGGTAGTGCACATCTGGGATTCCAGGGAGGTAGAGACAGGAGGATCAGGAGTTCAAGGTTATCCTTGGCTGCATAGGGAGTCTGAGGTCAGCCTGAGCTGCATGGTGGGGGTGAACCACAAAAATCTTAAGAGTTGGCCAAGGTTTGTTTCTGTCTTGAGCTAGATAGTTTACAAACCACTTTATCTCATGAAATCCTGACAGAATCCTTGGGAAGTGGGCAAGCTAAGATTCTGAGATGTGAGGCCATTCATTCACGATCACGCAGGGGATACAGGCGGAGCTGGGATAAAACAGCCTTTTTGTGGAGAGAGGCCAGCAATGGGTAAGTTTCGGAAACTTTCTTTTAGTGTGTGTGTGAGTGTGATGTGTATGTGAGTGAGGAAAGGTGTGTGCCATGGCTTGCATGAGAAGGTCAGAGGACAACTTGCAAGAGTTGATTCTCTCCTTCCACCCTATGGGTCCTGAACATGAAACTAAGGCGGTCAGATGGGCCAAACCATCTCCACCATGGGGGCTAACAGAAGACAACCTATGTTCCCTTCTACGTCGTTTACTGATGTATTTTGTATCTCTGAGTACCCAGTTTCTCAAAAATTCCACTAGTCTTTCTTTTCTTTCTTCTGTTTTTGTTTTGTTTGGTTGTTTCTCTTCAGTTTTTTGAGACAGCGTCTCAGTTTGTAGGACAGGCTAGCCTGGGACTCACTCTATAGCCCAGGCTGGGCTCAAACTTCAGGCAATCCTCCTGTTTCCGTTTCGACAGGTATCATCAGGACACCAGCTTTCCTTGGTGCTGCTTTAGATATCTCAGTTCGTTTCATTCCCACCATGCCCCCTGAGGGACTGAAGTTGGGAAAAATATCCTTACACTCCTGGTTTAGAAGCAAATAAAAATAACCCCTCAGGGAAAGAAGGGACCTGGAATCCACTTGTCAGTTCTGGGTATATTTTTTTCAGCATCTTTTGCCAGGGAGAAGGATAAAACAGACACAACAATGACAACCAATATAAATTGAACATTTAATTTTCAGGCTTAGTACTTTGCAGGCATTGGCTCAGTCTTTTCAAGAAGCAATTCAGAGGTTACCCCCATTCTGTTTTATTTCGTTATTTTTTTATTTCATTATTTATTTGCTTGCCGGGTTTTGCATGTGTATACATTTGTGCATGTGCGTGTGTGTGTGTGTGTGTGTGTGTGTGTGTGTGTGTGTGTGTGTTTAACAGAGGTCAGTGTTGGATATCTTCCTCAATTACTCCCCATCATATTTTTCGAGGCAGGGTCTCTCACTGGCTTGGAGCTTGAGGATTCTGTTAGACTGGCTGGCCAGCAGACCCCAGGCATCTTCCTGTCTCCTCTCTCCTGGAACTGAGATTATAGGCATACCCTGCCACACTTAGGAATCTGAACTCAGGTGCTCATACTTTTGCTGCAAGCTTTTCTCTGGCTGTGCCGCCTCCACAACTTCCAGTTATTTCATTTTTCTTTTTCTTAAGACAGGTCCTCGTGTGTCCTAGGCTGGTCAGAAATTCACTCTGCAGTCAGAAATGACCTTGAACTTGTCTCTATCTCCTGAACTTCGGGATTATGGGTGTACAACACCATTACCTAGTTTTTTGTTTTGGTTTGGTTTGGTTTGGTTTGGTTTTTCAAGACAGAGTTTCTCTGTGTAGCTTTGGTGCCTGTCCTGTCCTGGATCTCGCACTGTAGACCAGGCTGGCCTTGAACTCACAGAGATCTGCCTGCCTTTTGCCTCCTGAGTGCTGGGATTAAAGGTGTGCGCCCGGCTCCATACCCAATTTTTAATTGCATAATTTATTACATTTTATTTATTTTCTGTGCCATTTCAGGGGGGTGGGAGGAATATGCATGGCATGATGTTTATGTGCACACCGGAAGACAGACAATAAGCATTGGTTCTCTCCACCAGCAGATCCCAGCGATTGATCTTAGATATTAGGCCAGATGGCAAACATCTTTTATTCAATGAGTCATATAGCCAGTCCTTATTATTTTTTTTTTTTTAGAAAAAGTCTTATTACATAGACCAAATGAGCTTTAAACTTATGTCAGCCTTCCATCCTAGGTCTCCCAAGTGCTGGGATTACAGTTATGTATCACCATATCTAGCTTAGCTCCCATTTTATAGATGTAAAGACTGAGGGTGAGAAAGAGAAACACATTCCATAGCTTGAGCATGATGTCAGCTGACATCAAAGTTGGATTTCAGATAATGAAAAATAAAGCCAAGGTTTCTCAGCCTTGGTACGAATGACATCCAGATCAGGTGCTGCTTCATTATGGGGTGAATTTTACCTTGTGGGAGATTGAGCAGTAACCCTTGCTGGCACCCACTGAAAGCCAGGATCTGCACCCTCTCTCCAGTTATGACAACCAAAGTCTTCAGACACTGTCCCAAGTCCCTTGAGAGACAAAAATCACCCACAGTAGAGACACACTAACATAAAATAATTAGCCACTGGGGCCTAATTACCAACTTCATTTTTATCTTAAATTAAAATCAATCTCCTACACAAATCAATATTGCTAGTAACTACTTCTTAAAGGAAAGAACCAAAATAGTACATGAGGGATTTTAAGAAAAATAATTCAGCCAATTGTATCCCAAATTCTGTTCCTTATGGAAAGGGCTGTTAGTGGGATTTTGTTGCTGTTGTTGCTTTAGAGTTATGTATTTTATTATACATATCAGTGTTTGGCTTGTATTGATGTATGTGCACCACATGTGTGCCTCATGCAGGAAGAGGTCAGAAGAGGAAGTCTGACTGCCTGGGATTGGAGGTACAGATGATTGTGAGTCACTATGTGGGTGCCGGGAATTGAGCCTGGATTTTCTGCAGGAGCAACAATCACTCTAAACCACTGAACCATCTCTCTGGTCCCTGTGTGTGTGTGTGTGTGTGTGTGTGTGTGTGTGTGTGTACACGCATGCATTCATGAAACACATGCCAGTGCAAGTGTGGATGTCAAAAGAGGGCATCACTGTCTATTCCTTTGAGGCAGGGTCTCTCCCTGTACCTGGACGTGGGGCTTACCTCTTCTCTGGAAGCAAGCAAGCTTTAGAGACCCTCCCCTCCAGTCTCTACCCATCTTGGAGCTGAGGTTACAGAAGTTCACCAGACACCCAACTTGTTGAGTAGGAGCTGAACTATGATGGTCATGTTTGTTCAGGGAGCGCTCTTAAGTACAGAGCCAACTCTCTGACTTTGTAAATGTTTTAAATTATGTCTTCTCTTGGGGCCTGGTGTGGTAGCACTCACCTTTCATCCCAGCACTCAAGAGGCAGAAGCAGAAAGGATCTGTGTGAGGTCCAGGGCAGCCAAGAGTAAGTACATAGTGAGACCCTGTTTCGAAGGGGAAAAAAAGTATTTCTTTTTCGACTTTTCTTGATATTTCTAAATAATAATTACCTTTGAATATGTCTACATGATGCATTATCTATTGTTTTTTGTTTCTCTGATAGAAAATGATTTTACTCACATGGAACTCACTTTTTTTCTCCCTTCCTTCACATATAAATAGTTCTACATTGGTGGTTAATTTTTATATTTAAATGATACATAATTAGAATACTTATTGTTCTGGTGACTAAAGAGAACACATTTCATATTTATTTACTTTAATCTGCTTATGTGTTTAAAGAAGCTGTTTTTGTTTGGTTTGGTTTCTTTTTCAAAGACGGTCTCACATAGCCTAGGCTTCCCTTGGTTATTCTCTGTAGGCAAGGCTAGTCTTGAACTTGTGATTCTCTTGCTTCTGCCTCTCAAATATTGGGATTACAGGTGTACACTACCATACCTGGTTTATACAATGCTGTGAACTGAATTCACAATTTTGTGCACACACTATGCAAATACTCTACCTACTGAGCCCCATCCCCTGTTCCTCTAACATCCTTGAAAAAGCACACGAACAGGGCCAGAGACATGGGTTCCCAGGTAGACACATTTGCCATGAAAACCTGATGGCCTCAGTTCAACTCTCAGAACCCACATGAAAAGCCAGCTGTTGTGCATCTGTAATCCCAGCACTCCTGAGGTGAAACAGAAGGATTTCTCAGAAGTTTGGAGACCAGCTGGAATAGACAACCAAAGAAACCCTGCCTCAACAAGGTGGATGAGCCATCCAAATGACTCAGCTTGTAAAAGCTTTTGCTGCACAAGCCTAACAACCTGAGTTCAAGTCCCAGGACCCACAGTAGAGGGAAAGAAACAACTCAGAGCCGCCCCCTGACCCCCACATGCACACCCACATTCAGACACACATAAAAAAGACTAATAAATTTACAGGGAAAAAATAGAAGAGAATTGACTCTCAAAAACGTGTTATTTAACCTCTACATGCACGCTGAGGTACATGTATACCTGCACGCACACACACACACACACACACACACACACACACACACACACACACACACACATTATACTATAGAGAAAGCCATGGTACAGAGAATTTTCATTGGCAACAAGAAAACAAGGAACTTCTTCTGGTTACAGGGCAGTGAATTCTGTACAGCTTTCAGGAGTTTGGTGATCTCTCCCAGCCCAAGCTCCAGATAAGAACAAGCCAATCCATGGTTTCAGGTCTGAGAGACCCTGGCCAGATCACCATATCTTGCTCGACCCTGATCTGCAGAAGCTATGGGATTCTCAGTATGTGTTGTTTGAAGCTATAGGCCTTCTGCTCTTTGGACAGATGACTAATATACCCTGTCAAGCATCACACTGTGAAGGTCACACAAGCTGTTCAGTCACTGTTGCTTTAGTGCTTCCTTGAAGCCTTCTGTTCTAACAGTCAGGCCACATGTAGGTCTATCTGGCCTCCTGGGTAGATGCCCTTTTCTTTCCGGTCCCTTCTGCCTGCCCTGCTCTTCCTTAGACTGCCACCAGCCCACACCACTAGCCCTTACACATCTTCTCCTTATTCAATTCCCCAAAGACTGTGCAGCATCACAGCTGGCCCTGTCCTTCTTCCTCTTAAATTTCTCCATGGCTCCCTGTCATCCTCAGGAGAATATCCAGGCTCCTTAACTGAGTCTTCATGACAAAAGCATCAGCCTCAAGGCAGGACATCCTCTCTGCTGTATCCTTAGGATGCAGTTGCTCTCCTACCCTGCTCAACCGACAAGGCTTCCGTCCACTCTTTTTGATGTTGTTTAATTTTTCAAACAGGAATTGATTAATGGCATGTGTGCTGCATGTGCATGTCCTGTTGCAAGTGTGGAGGTCAGAGGACAACATTCAGGGGTCAGTGTTCTCCATTAATGTGGGTTCCCAGGAGCAAACTCAGATCGGCAGTTTTGG